AAGAAACAAAAATAAACGGAAAAGAAAAACGGGAAAAAGAAAATAAAACCAAAACAAAAAAAGAATAAAAATAAAATAAAATAAAACAAAACAAACCAAAACAAACCAAAACAAAACAAAACAAAACAAACCAAAACAAATAAAACAAAACAAAAAAAAATAAAACAAAAAAAAAAATAAAAAAAAAGAATTACATGTTTTAGCTGCATTTGCTGCAGCAACAAAAACAGCAGCAACAAAATCAGGGCGCCACCGAAAATGAAATATTTTTGGTAGGTGTCGCAGCAGCCCCCTAAACAGCCTTCTATCGTAAACCTCCATGGCTCCAAACAACTAAAAAAAAAACACACAATTAGGGTTTAGGGTTTAGGGGAGAGGGGAGAGGGGAGAGGGGAGATGGGGCAGGGGGNGGGGTGGGGGGTGGGGTGGGTGAGAGAAAGAAAGAGATAAAGAGAGAGAGAAAGAAATAGAGAAAGAAAGAGATAAAGAGAGAAAGAAGAGAAGGAAAAGGAGAAAGAGAGAGAAAGAGAAAAAGAGAGAGACAGAAATAGAGAGGAAAGGAGAGAAAGGAAGAAAGAAAGAAAGATAAAGAGAGAAAAAAAAAGGGAGAAAGAAAGAAAGTGAAAGAGAAAGAAAGAGAAAGAAAGAAAGAAAAAGAAAAGAAAGAGAAAGAAAAAAAAAATAGAGAGAGAAAGTCTGCTTACAGAAACAAACAAAACGAGGGTTTAGGGTTTAGGGTTTAGGGTTTAGGGTTTAGGGTTTAGGGTTTACCTTGAGAGCCTTTGCGGTGTATCCATACTTCATCCCGCCAATCAGTTTCCACGTCTCCCCAGCCACTCTTTCTTGCAGCTCAACAACAGCAGCAGCAACAGCAGCAGAAGCAGCAGCAGCAGGAGCAGCAGCAGCAGAAGCAGCTGCAGCAGAAGTAGCAGCAGCACCTGCTGCTGCTTCTGCTGCCCCCTGGGGGCCCGCTAAGGGGGCCCCCACGCCCAGGCGAGCTCCGCTGCTCTTAACCAGCGGGTGTGGGTGGAAGGGGTCTGCAAGGGGGGCCCCCCAGGGTCCCCCCTGGGGGGGGCCCCCCAA